TACTCACAGGGCAATCAAATAATTCTGATTCTGATAATATATTGAATTTGTATCTATTTTTTCCCTCTGGTTATTACAGGTGAACACAGCCCAGGAGAAAGCCCGCTGCGTTGACCCTTTGGAGGAGAACGACGCAGACGATGAGGGGGACATTTGGTACAACCCCATCCCAGAGGACGAGGAGCCGGAGCAGACCCACAGCGGCAGACCCTCCATCAGGCTGCACCCTCCCCGACAGAGAGCCAGAGTGGGGGCAGACGCACGCACCCCTGACTCTGCCGAAGCCCCCACAGAAAACCCCAGCATGGCAGAGGTCGCTGTACATTCCTCCGAATCCGTACATGTGCACAGGCAAATTCTGGCGTGCAAAAACCAGGACGACGGAGGCCCCTCTCTCAGCAAAACCACAAGTAAGTTCATCTCACTTATTTCCTCTCTTTTTATTTTTCATTTAGTCACAGAATATATTCGACAATTACTGTCTGACGATGTGTCTCCCGGCGCATTTTTGTGGTTAGGAGCTGATTTCAGAAAGTGTTGAAAAGTCTATCAGTGAATCAACAGAGCTATTAAATGTTTCAAAGTTGTCATCTCAGATCGGTTGGGGATGAATAGGAGCAGACAGGAGCTGGGGCCGTCCAGTCATATCAGCTTATATCAGCAGCCTCATTAGTGCAACTTAAACATGAGCCAGGAGGTACTTAGGGGCTGACATTCCTTCAGAGAAAATACTTAAATGGTGCTAATACCTCATCTTCTACTCTTGCTACTATGACCACCACTACTATTACTACTACTACTGCTACGTTGACTGTTTGATTAATTCTATCATTGCTATGTCTGAAATTTTTACCATCTAAGGGGTACCTCACGATACGATACGATACACGATACAGAGCTCACGATAATGATAATATCACGATAACGATATTACGATAACGATTTTATGACGATTATTGATATATTGGTCAGAAATATACCAATTTATGGCATAAATAAAAGAAAAAATACTCTTTATATCATTATAAATAGAATGGAGATACTTAATATATGGCTATATTACGCATTGATACCAATTTAAAAAAAAAAAGTAAAACAAAATCGATATTGATACTTGGCAAATGCATATCGATAATCGAATCGCGGGAGAAAGTATCGCGATATATCGAAAAATCGATATATTGTCACACCCCTAACTACTACTGCTGCTAACTAATACTACCACCATTATACTGTACATCACAGTTACTACCAAACTAGATCTACTCAGTGCTGGAAGAAGTAATCGTCTGTGTTAATGTAAATGTTTAGATACTAATTATTATTCTTTTAATTAAAACACATGACATATTGAACTTCGGTAAAATATATTTTTCAAAGAGTTACCGGCATCCACAGTTGACAGCAGCGCATGTGGTAGATGTGTAAAAAGTAGTGCAAAAAGGCATCTGACAGCAATATTTATTTATCTTTCTTAAGTAGATAAGTAAGAGGAGCTAACACTCTTTGGCTCTCATGGTGGATAAAAGTATTTTCCTTACTTTCCAGTGTATTGGTTCTCTGTTCCGACAGTTTCTCTGGACATGTTGTGTAGCCCTCAAAGGTATCGCTCATTTTCCCACGTTTTATGTCTCAAGTGCTAGTGAGAGTAACGTAATTTGATTCAAAATCAAATCAAGCCCTTTCATTGTTATTTGTTTATTTTACACATAAAAAGCCTGCCAGACCAACTCCAGCAACTCGCAAGATCTTATTTATTATTTGTTTTTGGCATTCTATGGTACAGTCTCGGGATATATTACTCAGCTGGGTTGTGAATCACTTTGTGTTACCTTGTGTAGGAAAAGCGCTCCATAAATATAGGTTGATTGATGGATACTTTTGGACACAAGTCACAATTAGCACTTAGGGTTTAGGTTATTTTATTTTAATCTTTGCAGTGATGTAAAGTTATTCGATGATCATTTTCTTCAATGTGAATGCGCTAATACAAGTGTGCATCTTTGCCTGTTGTTTGCATGTTGGCTCTGGCCTATGCATCATTGGTGTAATGATGACAGGCAGCGCACGGCTCCCTGTCTCTTAATAAGCTCGAGCTGCTGTGTTGAACTTCCGACTTTTGTTCTCTCTGATGTGGCAACACGGGCGTTTGAACCAATCCGCACATCGTCTGCTCAACCTATAATTACTACTTTTGACAACACTTCACTTTGGCACGCAACCCTCATTTCTACATTTAGCTTAAATGTTGACAGCTAATAGTTTAAATCTAGCACTAAGCAGTTTTAGGGCCAGATTAAGGAATGTTCTTGTCATGCCATTATTTGACAGGATAGTTTGTGTGATCATTATTGCTCCAAGGCTAGATTTTAGGTACTAATCACAAGTTTACAAACAGAACACAAAAATGCAGATATAGACTTATTGATTTTTTCCCTAAATTGTTAATTGGATTTCCATACGTAATACTCCCATACTTTGGGATACATATGGTCAAATACTAAATCAGGAAGCTTACAGAATGCTATGTTAGTTCTAAATAGTTTGCCCAAACAAAATTGTGAAATATTTTGTTTATTCAACAAATCTTTCAATTTCTGAGGAATCCACAGTCCAGAATAAAGTAAGTATGTCAAAACTCAGTATGACAAAACTCCAATCCGATTAACTACATTTTATCACATGAATTTAACCTTCATAATGTTTTGCATACCCATCTACCCATGACAAGGACGCAAACTGCTGATAAACTGTGCACTGGTGCCTCTTGTGACATCACGAGTTGCTCAGCCAAACATCTATCTTGGGAGACTTTTCTTGGAGGATTAGGATTAAACCAGTAGGACCTTTTCGTCTCAATGTACAAACCCGGGATAGCAATTAATCAGGGCACACACGGCTAATTAAATGGAGGCTATTTCAACCTTGAGCCGTCTTCTCTACAATTGCAGGGGGAGTCTTTCATGCGGTTTAGTCAGTCAAGAGGGTATAATCACTGGCTTGTTCCTCAATCCTAATCTGAACAGGAATGTTTAATGTAGTCTGTAGTAGATAGAATTTTGACCTAATTATTTTTTTGTTTTTTTCTTGTATTGACCAATTGTTAAACAAATGACTGAAAGATGTGCACACACAAAATCCAATATTGTTAATCTTCTGTATGTCCCTTTTTGAGACTTATGTATGTTGTTTATAATACTGGGTAAAAAAGTTAACACTAATTAACTAATAATAACTAAGATGCAATTATGTATGTAGATAACACATAAGAGTACTGTACCCTGTTGACTTTCCAGGGTTATGAATTGGCGCAGTGGTTAGCACAGCAAGAAGGTCCGGGGTTCGATTCCATCTCCTGACGGAGCCGTTCTGTTTGGAGTTTCTGCGTAGGTTTCCTCCTGGTGCTCCATTTTCACAAATCAACTAAAAACGTGTACCATATGTGAAGGTTCAATGTGGGACTACAGATGAAAATGAGCTACAATAAGCTACAATGAGCTACAATCTGGTGTGTTTATAGCGGTTCATTAAGACACACTGTGCCATTCAAAGTTGAAAAAAATAAATACAGAAAATGGTATGTAATGTTTTGTTGACAAATGATTGCTCAGGCAGGGTTTTTTATATCTGTGTTGGGGGCTGGAATGCTGTTGGGGTTTGGCTTATGGACCTGGTGGAGGTTTTGGAGGCTCTGCCTAATCTCTCCTCTGGGTCTCTGCTCCTGGTGCAGATGGCTCCTTGGATGACCTTTCTTCAGCTGGCTACTCTGGTTCCAGCATTTTATTATATTATTTTATTTGTTTAAATATAGACATAACAATAACATTGGACAAACCAGATTCATTGCTGTAAGTGTTAAAGCACAGGTGCTAATGTTCAACACTAGTCCACAGGGCTTTTTACAGTGCAGAAGATAAAATGCATTAAAGAATTACAATATAATTTAGACGCAAGAGCAAGTCTGACTAGATCTTAACCACTCTTTGAGCTCTCTGCTGAAGATGGTCATGTTCGTCAGTAGTTTTAGGCCAATGGGGAGAGAGTTCTACAGTTTAACCCCCCTAAAGGAGAAGCTGGATTGTCCAAAAGATGTTCTGAGCTTTGGGAGCACACAGTTCCCCCTCATGTCACATTTTGGTTGTACCTATTTTACTCATATGATGCGACTGTATGTGGGTGTGTCTGTGTGTGTGTGTGTGTGTACTTAATGTGGTTTAGGATGGGTGTGTTGGGTGGTCGGGTGGAGGGGTCATGGGTATGTGAGATTGTTTTTAACTGTGAAGCACTTTGTATGAAAAGCGCTGTATAGATAAAATTGGATTGATTGATTCAAAGTGGCGAATGTATGGCGGCGAGATTGAAGTTCCCAGAGCGCTACGCCATCACTCAATGATGACTATTTTCCATAACACATTCCCACAATTTTTCTTTTCGACCACCACGAAGAAGGACGTGATCTATAACCGTATAATATATACATGTTGAATATACCACATCACTCCCCTGCTTCTCTCACCACATTTTTGTAATCGCTCCAGTCGTCCTTGTGAACAAAAGCTTTTGATCCTGAACAAAATGAAAGCCCCCATAGTATTGAACTCAGCTATTTCCAGCTCCTCCACAGCTTTTCATGAATATTATCTGTAACCGAGTCAATTTTACGCGTTGGCTTGAAACTGGGACATGCCATTCGATGACTAACTATGAATACCACTGCCTGGTGAATTAATGTATGTAGATAGCCCTGGTGACTATAGTTTTGCCTGTGCGGATGGCTGGCTCTGTTCCTATAACCGGAAACACTGCAGACTCCTCATGTGTTGCCTATTCACTGACTTTTTGTTCATTTCAATGCTCTATTTGTATGGAAAGTAATGATGGATGGTAGTGGGGGTGTTGGGGGGGCATTGGCTTTTGGTCCTTTTTACAGCGTCTTTGGAGGGTCTTGAATTGGAGAGAGGTCACAATACTTAGCGATTCTGAGGCTTGTTGTTTTGACAGTTTGGTTGGTGGTCAGACAATTTAGTGTTGAAAAATATTTGTCTTCCGTATCGACATTCTAGACATGAAAATAAAATGGCATAGCAAGTTTGATATTTGTGTTTTATTAATTTCATTCAATGTCATTATAAAAAGCAAAACTTCTATTGTTTTACACTCATTACTAGGGGTGAGAACCTAAGGGTACCTCATGATACGATACACGATACAAAGCTCACAATAAGGATAATATCACGATAACGATATCACGATAACGATTTTATCACGATATGACGATTATTGATATATTGGTCAGAAATATACAATATGCCAATTTATGGCATAAATAAAAGAAAAATTACTCTTTATTTCATGATAAATAGAATGGAGATGCGTAATGTAGCCATATATTAAGTATTGATACCAATTT